GCCCATTTCGGTGGCAGTTGACTGATCCTCCAGTTACACACGCTTCTCTCGTAATTTACCACTCTTCTCTGTAAAACCAAGTCTCTCAGAAGCTCAGATAAGATCGTTCAGAACTTCAGATGCAACCTGAAATGAGTGATTTTGCCGTTCCTTGATCCCCAGGCAAACTCAACGCAACGACGACCGGTGCTCCGAAACCGGGGCATGCAGCGTGCACGCATGTGCGCTCTTTCCCTGCGCAATCGAGGGCATATGCCTTCCCAAAATTTTTACCTCGTCACATCGAATGTTTAGACATGTGTATGGAATACTAAATATAAACGAAAAAAATAACTAATTGCACAGATTACGTGTAAATTGTGAGACAAATATTTTAAACCTAATTACTCCATGATTTAACAATGTAGTGCAATAGTAAACATTTGCTAATGATGGATTAATTAGATATAATAAATTCGTCTCGAAGTTTACAGGCGAAATCTGTAATTCGTTTTATTATTAGTCTATATTTAATACTTTAAACGTGTCTGTATATTCGATGTGACACGCTAAAACTTTACACCATAGATCTAAAACACCCCCTGCTACTAATCAGTTGAGGTCAAAGAAAGACTACAGAGGTGGGAGGCCGAGACGCGCCTTTTGGCCGGTAGAGGAGACGTGGACCGGGGGGCCGCTCGTGTAGAAACCGGAAAGAATCATCAGTTGCTCACTTGCCCATGCCGGCCGGTCCATGACTCGATCGCACAGTGATTCTCTCTAGAAGCTACCGATCCTAGGGTCTAGGATCTTGTAAAACCCGGCCCGCCCGTACGTCCGTCCGTCCGCCCTCGTGCTCCCATCGCTTCGCGCGCCTGGTTCGTTGGACACCGCGTCGACGGTGTCCACGCCCACGCGACGCGACGGCGGCAAGGAGAGCGCTCGGATTCGTCGCATGCTAGCGCGGCGCACCGGCTGCGGGGGCGGATCCGATCGAGCGCGCGGTCAACTGCCGGTGGCCGGCTTGACGGTTGGGGGGGTGGAGCTGGCTGCCAGCTGGTGCCCAGGGGGGGGGGGGGGGGGGAGTTTCGCCGTTTCCGCACGAGTAAATATGACGCGTGGGGCCTAGCTCTCCCGGCGCCGCAATCCACGCCCAGCCAGCACGCGCAACGACGCATGGAGCCTGTCATCTCCTACGGTTTCTCTCCTGTTCCTGTAGCACATTTCTTCGGGGCGCTGGTGGGTGGGGACGCGGCCGGTCGACGCGTGCGCCCGGTGTCAGGGAGGGGACGTACGTAACGCGGAGTTGCTAAGGGCAGATATAATAACAGTCTATTAGCCAGCTGTAAACATATTTTAATGAGATATAAAAAATAAGAGAGAAGAGCAACGGGCTATAAATCTATAGCCAGCTGTAGCACGGACTTCAAGACGTAGTGTGTGTATGACAGGTGAGACCATATAGTAATACTCCCTCCGTTTCAAAATGTTTGACACCGTTGACTTTTTAGTACGTGTTTAACCATTTGTCTTATTTAAAAAATTTAAGTAATTATTTATTCTCTTTGTATCATTTGATTTATTGTTAAATATATTTTCATGTACACATTTAGTTTTACATATTTCACAATTTTTTTGAATAAGACGAACGGTCAAATATGTGCTAAAAAGTCAACGTTGTCAAACATTTTAAAACGGAGGGAGTAGTATAGTAAGCAATTATTGTATGAATTGGCTATTAGATTAGCTATAGAAAAATTAGAGCTAGTAGTGCTCTAACTCCCTCCCGGGTCCCAGTCGGTTGGGACTTGGGACTGGCTGGCCGCTGGCGGGGTGTCGGACCGGGCGTCGTGTCGCGGACTCGGCGTGTGGGTACGTCGTCGACTCGTCGCACGCCACTGTATTTACGTATACTCGCGGGTCATGCACGCCGGCGGCCTCCACTTTGTCGCCCATCTTCACCGATTCAGTGGGCTAATTTTTTTTTTGAAGTCCTGAGAAAAATTATTTTTTGTTGAAATTTCTATGCCTTCCATCTTCACCGATTCAAGGAGGGTATTTTACTATTGTAGTCCTGAGAAAATTATTTTCGTTGAAATTTCTATGGTCTACACAGTTCAGATAAGCCTTAACTAAAAAAAGTCAATCAACCACGATGTTCTTTTTTTCAACAATAAGAATGAACTCACGATTTTTTTTTAAAAAAACCAATCAAATAGGCTAGAATTAGCTCTAACCTGTATATAAACAAGTAGTCTTCCAACCCTCTTAAAATGAGACACATTCTTCTTAATATAAAATATCGGCAACAACATTACCGTTCGAAAAAAAAAATCATCCAACCAACTGGAAACATGGATAACATGTAAAATTTAACCAGGAGGGACTAAATATTCAATAAATCTTGATATTCTCTTTTAGGCTGCGTTCGTTTTAGGGTGTTCCCAACCCCTGTCTCTCGTTTTCCACGTGCACGCTTTTCAAACTGCTAAACGGTGCGTTTTTTTTTAAAAAACAATTATATACGAAAGTTGCTTAAAAAAATCAAATTAATCTATTTTTTTAAAAATAGCTAATACTTAATTAATCACGCGCTAATGGACCGCTCCGTTTTTCGTGCGAAGGAGATGGGTTCCCAACCCCATGTATCGAACACAGCCTAACACTTTCCCAACTCATTTCTCTCGTTTTCCGTGCGCACGCTTTTCAAATTGCTAAATGGTGTGTTTTTTTTAAAAAAATCTTATATGAAAGTTATTTTAAAAAACATATTAGTCTATTTTTTAAATTTATTTTAGCTAATATTTAATTAATTATGTGCTAAACACTATTTCGTTTTGCGTGCACACAACCCTCACTCCCGAACACAGCCTAAGAAAATACTACTACTACTACTACTCTACTAAAATATATCTGATGCTTAGGACAATATTTAGTTAAACTTCTAAAATTTCGATCGTCAATAACTTATCAATTTTTTAATTAAATATGAGACAACTAGATTTTTCTTGAAAGAAAATTACTATCATTATTAGAATTACCTATTTAGATAGTGGAAATGGTTTTATTCCAGAACTTCGCCGGACATACGACACACACATACAAACCAATTATAACGACTTACTGGAGACAAATAGAACTACATTAAATAAAAATCAGTGTGGGATTAATCTCACCAATCTCTCCCATCATATTGATTCATATGTCTCGTGCATGATCGTGCAATCTTGAATATAGATGTTCTTGGTTTTCAACTCTTCGGCTCTGATATCACTTCTCAGCTAAAGAACAATTCTACCTCCCACGACACCTTTAGTTTACAGTGTGTTTGAGTATGCAACTTGCATTAGACAACTAGTAGCTGTTTAAAACTTTTATATGGTACCCATTTGGAACAATCCAGCATAAGTAGATAGGCACATGTGAAATAGCGTTGCCTTGCCTTTTGGACTTTGTGCTATCATCGTGTTGAAATTAACTCAACCAGATTAGGACCAATTTCTTCCGGACTCGAGAGAGAAATTGCAACCTCTCTTTCAAGCATGTGTCTTATATAATTCCTCCACTCTCCAACAAAAACAATTAATTTCTAAAAAGTAGAGAAACTTTTGTGGGCTACTTACCCTACAAACTCAAAGTTCACACATGCCAATATTGTCCAAGCATATGCTGATATGCCATGCATACACCGACTTTATCCCAATTATCAAAAAGGCAGGAGCCAACTTTTAGCTAGATTCGTGTATTAACAAAACACCAGCGATCGCATCTTGGACCGTTCCCACAACATAATATTTCTCCAGTTCTCCCACTGTATATATATCCCCCTGCTTATTTGCAGTTCGACATGCAAGTATGCAACTAGTGACAGTCTTATCCGAAAACGACGCGAAGAAGAAAGAAAAAAGAAAAAAGAAAAAAAGAGGCTGCGTGTCACGTACTTGCATCTCGGGGTGTGGGCCCGGGGGGGTTTTGGGCGGTGGGGGCCGCGGGAGTCAAGGGCGTTGACGTTTTCTCCACGTGGATCGGCCCGGCGGCCCAATCGGGAGCGGAGGTTTCGTGGAACGGTGGAAGAACTGGTCCCTGCACCCATTGACCCAAACCCTAACCCTCCTCGAACTCAGAGCAAAATACACAAAGAAACAAATTTATTTATACGTTAAACTGGTGGGCCCAGCCTGGCCATAGAAGATCTCAGAAAGTTTTTAGTAGCGGCAATAAAGAAAGGGTAAGATCCGAGTCCGCTGTGTGGACTCGCGACCCTGTAGCTGTAGCCGATCAATCACAGGCACGATCCTCCCGAACTCGTCTCTGACCAATCCAGACCTGCGTTTCTTTCTCTTTTCTCGGTTGGGGGGCAAGTAATCTACGGAAGGAACCTTCTGACCGTGGAAAAAAAAAACGCCCCTCGTGCAGTACATGCTGACCTCAATATTTCTTCCCTATTGCACACCTGCATCGGCGCTCGTACCGCCGGAGATCGAATCCGAGATAACCGTAGTAGTGGCGATCGATCGACACGTCGAGCGGCGGAGTGGACGTGTACGGTGCACCGTCCATCTGCCCGTGCAAATGTACACAAAACCTCTTTCATCAAGCTACGTGGTGTGGGCGAGTGACAGCGCAACGGTGGATGGATGGATGATGGATGTTGAAAACCGGTAGACCGGCGCGGGGTGGGAGTCGCCGTTGCGGGGGGCCTCGCTTTGGTTAATTTGGCGTTGCGACGACGGGAGCCGTCGGTCGCTTTCCGCTCCACGGAAAAAAAAAATCTCACGCTTTCTTAACGAGTTGGGATTCTGATCCGGAAGAGAAAAGGCGGAAAGCTAAAGTGGAGACACGCACGTAAACGAGCCGTCTCCGCGCCTCGCCGGAAAGGACGATCCGGTCGCCTCGGCACCAGGCTCGAGTCGTCGTCGACTCCCGGGTCGGCCAATGGGGACTCGCCACGTGTGCGCCTCGCCACTGACGCAGCTCCTGATGTCAGAGTCGAGGGTGCTTCCCTTTTTTATACGAGCCTCCTCCCACCGGTGAGAGACTTCAGACTCTCCCACTCTCTTCTCCCCCCTAATTATCTCTCTCTCCCTACCACGTCGTCTTCTCTTCTCTATCTTCTCCGCCTCCGGGAAGAAGGACAAGAGGAGTAGGAGCTCCAGTTGCATGGACAAGGGCCACCTCGGTGGTGGCGGAGGAGGAGGAGGTGGGCTGCTCGCTCTGGACGCGTCGCCGCGCCCGCTCGGCTTCTTGAACCTGCTCTCCCCGCCGCCGTTCCACAGGTCGACCATGGAGGCCGACGACAGCGGCGGTGGCGGCGGCAGGGCACGCAGGTCCGTCGAGGTGGACTTCTTCTCCGACGAGAAGAAGAACATGAAGAAGAGCCGTGTCTCGGGCGGCGTCGCCGCCGAGGCGGACGACGCCAAGGGACCCGCCGCCGCCGGCCTCGCCATCAAGAAGGAGGACCTCACCATTAACGTTAGCCGCCGCCGCCTTCTTCGCTCGTCGATCGCCAGACACCTGTTTAACTCACGGCGATCTAACGCGTGTGCTCGTCCGTGTTCGTTGCAGCTTCTTCCCGCCGGGAACAACGCGAGGAGCGACCGGTCGATGGTGGTCGACGACGACGCGGCGTCGCGGCCGGATCACGAGGAGAAGAGCCGGAGCAGCAACGAGGTAGGTAGCTAGCCCGGCAGGGCCGGTTGATCGATACATACAGCTTAGCTAACTAAAATTCATCGTCATCGCGATCTCGATTATTCGACGGGGTTGACCCTGACCGTGCTAGCTCAGCGGCGAGCATGGTGGATCTGACCCGAGCTGACCCCGACCGGTGGTCATGGATGGATCGCTCGATATTTACGCTCTCTCGTGTGATGTTTTGCAGCTCGCGGCGATGCAGGCGGAGCTGGGCCGCATGAACGAGGAGAACCAGCGGCTCCGGGGGATGCTGACCCAGGTGACCACCAGCTACCAGGCGCTGCAGATGCATCTCGTCGCGCTCATGCAGCAAAGGCCTCAAATGATGCAGCCTCCGACCCAGCCGGAGCCACCTCCGCCTCACCAGGTAAAATAATTAGTGTAAAACCACCCTATATTACCACAGTTATTAGTAGTAGTATTACACAGCTACCTGGAGTGGAAATAACCGGGTTTCCCACTTTGGTGTGTGTTTCAGGATGGCAAGGCCGAGGGCGCGGTCGTGCCGAGGCAATTCCTCGATCTGGGCCCGTCCTCCGGCGCCGGCGGCGAGGCGGCGGAGGAGCCGTCCAACTCGTCGACGGAGGCCGGCAGCCCGCGTCGGTCGTCGTCTACCGGCAACAAGGACCAAGAACGTGGTGACAGCCCGGACGCGCCGTCGACGGCGGCGGCGTGGTTGCCGGGACGCGCCATGGCGCCGCAGATGGGCGCCGCCGGCGCGGCGGGCAAGAGCCATGATCAGCAAGCCCAGGATGCCAACATGAGGAAGGCCCGCGTCTCCGTTCGCGCGCGATCCGAAGCGCCAATCGTAAGACCCCACCACTAGCAACCACATCGATCACAGGCATTTTCTCATCGAGACGTGCTGAATTCCAAATCGTTTTGGTTCCGTGCAGATCGCCGATGGGTGCCAATGGAGGAAGTACGGTCAGAAGATGGCGAAGGGAAACCCTTGTCCACGCGCGTACTACCGCTGCACCATGGCCACCGGCTGCCCGGTGCGGAAGCAGGTAATGACCGGACACGACGACTCACTGAGATACGGGTCAAAACTCAGAAGTAGAGAGTACGAAGGGCTGGGAGTAGCAGTGCTACCGTGTAGGCAAGGGGTGTTGTTTGATTGGTCTAACTTTGTGAACGTGACGGAATTGACCAACAGGTGCAACGGTGCGCGGAGGACCGGTCCATCCTGATCACCACGTACGAGGGCACGCACAACCACCCGCTGCCGCCGGCCGCGATGGCGATGGCGTCCACCACGTCGGCGGCGGCGTCGATGCTTCTGTCGGGGTCCATGCCGAGCGCCGACGGCGCCGCGGGGCTCATGAGCTCCAACTTCCTGGCGCGCACCGTGCTGCCGTGCTCGTCCAGCATGGCCACCATCTCGGCGTCGGCCCCGTTCCCGACGGTCACGCTCGACCTCACCCACGCGCCGCCGGGCGCGCCGAACGCCGTGCCGCTCAACGCCGCGCGGCCGGGCGCGCCGGCGCCGCAGTTCCAGGTGCCGCTGCCAGGCGGAGGGATGGCGCCGGCGTTCGCCGTGCCGCCGCAGGTGCTGTACAACCAGTCCAAGTTCTCCGGCCTGCAGATGTCCTCCGATTCAGCCGAGGCCGCCGCCGCCGCCGCCGCCGCCGCGCAGTTCGCGCAACCGAGGCCGCCGATCGGGCAGCTGCCTGGCCCTCTCTCCGACACCGTCAGCGCGGCGGCGGCGGCGATCACCGCTGACCCCAACTTCACGGTGGCGCTCGCGGCGGCGATCACGTCCATCATAGGCGGCCAGCACGCGGCGGCAGCTGGCAACAGCAACGCGAACAACACCAACACCAACACCACGAGCAACACCAACAACACAAGCAGCAACAACACGACGAGCAACAACACCAACAGCGAGACGCAGTAAAAACGAGTTCGGATCAGTAATTTTCACATAGATTTCCAAGTTTTTACTCTTCTTTGTTCAGGATAGGTTCTTGATTTCTCTCCTTTGGTTTCGATAGCTCGGCCGAGCTGTGCAGTGGGCACATGGTATACACTTTCTTTTTTCTTCTCCACTTTCCTGGTTTTGCAGCAGCAAAAAGTTGTATTAATTCATTGCTTTTTCTTAGTTCTTTTTCTACCGCAAAAACAGCTGTTGATACTTCGCAGTAAGTAATAATCAGTACAATAATAAGTATAATAATAGCATCTTCCTGAGAATTATGTACACTTGTCAAAGCAACAAAACAAAAGAAACAATGACAGCTTACTAGATCCCTCTTTTCTACGTGTTTGTTCATATCCTCAGATTGTTTTTCATCTAACACTTAAATTTCATCGCTTGTTTTGTTTCGCTTTCTTCTCATTGGCCTTTTCAAACAAAGTCACGGCCAGGCCCGGGCCGGCTCTGGGATGTGAATGCGATATCTGTGAACCGTAATTTTTTTTTTAGAGGAGACCCCAGCGTAGACCCAGTCAGTTTCCAGCAGCTTAGCTAGCTAGCCTAGCCTGGCCCGTCACGTATTTGTACTATTACCGGTCTTCCGTTGGACTGTGCATATACTGACAACGTTACGCATACGTTGGCTTTGAACACGGGATATGTTAATTCCTGTATTGACTGTGTTCCACATCGGCATGGGCCATATATATATACATACATACACACACACATATATATATATATATATATATATATATATATATATATATATATATATATATATACACACACACACACACACACATATAACGCAGAGTACTTGTATAAGCTCGTGAGACGTAGAAGAAGTGATGGTACTACGTACTACTAGGCACTGCCGCACCGCACTGGTCAGGTCAGCTCTCAGTTGAGTGGTTGAGTTATTACTCCCTCTATCTATTTTTGATAGTCATATTTCTAAATCTGAAAATTTTATTTTTGATAGTCATATTTCAATCCAACAACCTACCATCTTAATGATTTTCTCGAATTTAATGCGTGACTCTCCATTCTTCCACACATGATTAGCTACATGGGCTTTGAGAAATGTAAATATTATTGAATCGCTTGTTTACGAGGAATGACTAGTAGCATGTTTAAATAAATGATAAGTAGAATTACTTATTCTTGGTCTGTGTGTCAAGATGAAATATTATTATTAAAAGTAGATGGAGGGAGTATCTGATAAGTCGTTCCGGGCTTTTTCCCCTGGCACGCGGCGACGCACGGGAAAAATGTGGGGCGCCGCCGTGCGGATGCGGGAGAAATCATGGGGAGCTCGGCGTTGTGGGGCGCACCCGAATTTGACACGGAAGCCGTCGGAGTCTCAGTCGGCGCTGCGGCCGGCCTCGCGATGGTACGGTACCGCCTGTTACGTGACAGTTCGTTATTTGACGCGGTCGCCATACGGCCGTGGAGTCTTCGATCGATCCTCCTCGCCGCGCGCAGCCGGCCCACGCGTCGTACGCGAGCGACGGCAAAAATCCACCGGCTCTGGGTTGATTGTATTTTGGCGTTACCTGCACGGTCGCTTGCGCGCGTCGTACGTGGCCGGGGCGGCAGGTCGGGGTTTACGGCGGCGCGCGTCGTCGTCCGTCCACGACTCCACGGGAATTTTTTTTTCCAGGTGAAGTCTACGCCTCAGCTGGCGCTGCCGGCCGGGCGGGCGGCGCCGGGCGTGAGAGGGGGTTTCAACGATATGTAAAACGGAAACTGTGCACGCGAATTGTCAAACAGCGTGGAGAAGTTTTCAGGTACGGAGTAATATAAGCGCTTTCGTATGTCGATCGTCTATTGTTAGCTTATCGGTTCTGAATCACCGGCCTCTAGGGCCTAGGCCCCAACGAACCACGGTGAAATGCAGGCGATTTGCAGTAGCCGGTATATGATTTTCATTGTACTACCTAGGCTGCTAGCTAGCTTTCGCATGTCGTTCTCATCAACAGACTGATTAGGAAACATTTACACATAGCTAGCTATATATTACTATACCTTTCACTTGATGAAATAAAGCTATATCCTTTAATCAAGAAATGCATATCATCATCACCATGTAGGTGATCTCGATCAGCAGCGTAATCTGACTTTCACCTTGGCCTTACATCAACTGTTGCGCTGTAGAACGATCAAGTACTTATCGAATTTGAGGCTAATATGCACAATAATAATGCTAGGATTTATTGGCGTGATAATGATCATTTTTTTCAAGACATTTCTAACAGATTTTGCTAGAATAAAAGTTGGCAGTAAAAAAAAACAATGCTGGTGGGTATATATATGATTCTTTCTCGTTTTATTGTTGTTTTAACAGAAACTAGTAGTGTGTATTGGAAATATAAAACAAAAGTTGCTAATTCTCTTATATATAGAGTGTGTATTGGAAATTTATTAACAAAATTTATAGTATAAGTAGGAAGGTAGCCCGCACATTCGCGCGGGTATACATATTATTTTGTTTCGGAAATAATTTTAACAAAATAAGTTGAAATTAAAGTATGGAATTTTTCCTTTTTAATTGAATTTTCATTGTTTATTTTTTTTACATAAACTAGGAAGGAAGCCCGCGCATCAAGGAAGCCCGCGCAATTCACTTACTGTTTATAAAAAGAATACTAAAAGATATCTCACCATATTCACTATAAGAATCATTACCTAGAATAAAAAAAATATTTATTCCGTAAAATAGACCATAAACTTTGATATACTATATGATAATGTCTATTATATTTAAACAAATATCACTTTATTATCATCATCCTTCACAAACATACGAGCTAATATGTGTTTTGTTTTTTCTTTTATTATGCATCTAATCACTTCTGCATTTTCATGGGTAATATACGAAAGAATAATTTATATTGTCAAAATTGTTTATGCTAGTTATTAACATTATTAAGATGATATTGGCATAATTATAAAGGGATATAATGTGGTTCCACGTGCTATTTTCGATCGTAAGCATGTATGTATGTACGTACGTACGCACGCACATATGTATGTTTTTCATGGTGAATATATAGTAGTCTCTCGGATCTATATAATTTTTCTTGGTTTTTTTTACAAATATTTTCCTCTTGTAGGAGATAATGTTTGTATGTGTATTCATAAGATGGTTATGCATAGGCGTTTATATGAGCACCCAACTGGTTTTTACATAGTCGTTAGTAAAAAAATACATTCATGAAAATTGACGGGGTGGTGTCAAGTGGTGCCAGGATGACATGGCTTCCTTGATAACATCGCTAGGAGCTAACGCTGAAAAAAACCTACCATACAGGGCAAATGGTAGATACACTCTCTTTTTTTACATCTCTTGTGTATGTACGTATATAGGGAGGGATTAATTGTTTTTAGGAGCAAGGGATTACTTAGATAGATCTAATATAATGGTTGAATATAATTGCTCCACCAGTTTAAGTGTAAATTGATGGCAAGGTGTTTTGCTTTTATTCTTAGATTTTGTGTTATTTATTAAAGCATTACGTGTCATCTTAGGATTGTTGGAACGTTATTAGTCTTACTTGCAATCTATTTGTAGTCAAGTATTATTTGCTGTAGCTTGATGGTAACCTCTACTTACCTATCATTTATTGATGGTTGCTCATTTAGTATTATTTCTTATCTTAGATGCTTAATGACACACGTGCTCATTGAATTATTAGTTTGGTTTTCCATCTAATTTAAGTGAGAAAGGGGAAAAAAGAAAGATGTGGGGCTTGGTGTGCGTAAGTACATATGTACGTAGTACAATTTTTAGTACGTATGTAACTACTTAACTGATAAATTTAATCGGTGATTTTTTAGATAAATATAATGGGTAAAAATAATGGAACCACCTAATTTTTTTCCGTAGATGTGATATATGGTTACTTAAAAAGCACTCTACAGGAAGTTTGATCAATTTTGATCATGTGGATTGATTTAAGATAAAATGAAGCATATTGTTAAATTCTTTTTATAATGTCTTATTCTTGTTTGGTTTCCATATAATGTCCAAATGATGTATTTCAATTTTATATAGTATAATATAGATAATATGAAACTTGAATTATTTATTGAATTGTAAATAAAAGAACAACTGAAAGAACTTTAAAAATTATAATTGTTAAGCTATCTATTTTTTTAAATATATAACTTTGCTAGTTTTAGGGGATAAAAGGAGAGGATGTGAGCGGAGGGAAGGAGAGATATATACGTATCTATACGTGGAGGCTGATACAGTATGTGACGTGAAGGGATGGAAAGTGAGCTTTTTATGTTTTTACACTGTTAGATAAATCTAATAGTAAAAAATAATGGGTCCACCGTGATTAAGTGGAAATTGTTGTTTGGATTTTTTTTCCTTATAATTTATTAGAGAGCCACGTGGCGACTTATGAATGTTTATAGGAATCCGGAATCCTACGTGGTAGCTTGAGAGCATTTGTATAAAGTTTAATAGACTTTTAGTATATAATAGATAGATAATAGATTTTCTTGGATTCTCTCTAATTAGAATGTCACATGACATCTTAGGAGCGTTTGTAGAAGTGTAGGAACGCTATTACTCGTAGTCGCAATTTAGTTGTAGTCAACTATTGTTTGTAGTGGATTGGTTGCATCCTCTACTCACCTATTTTTTTGATGATCATTGCGCACATGGTATTGTCATTTATCTTTTGTGCTTGATAACAGACATGCTCATTGGATATCAGTTAATCATTATGTGCACTATGCACGGATACCGCATAAGAAATATGACTTGGCATTTAGTGGATAGTGACTTATATATAAAACTTACATACATGGCGATCAATAAGGATATACGATTGGTATTTTAGTCTAGGATTGACCAAGTATATTATATACTACATATTAAGTGCTTTAGTACCTAAGTAATAAATTTAAGGTCGAGTTCTAAAGTGCTTATAGGATTAGCTACTTCCTTATTTATAGCGAGCGCGTTTCTTAAACTGCTAAATAGTGCATTACACGTTGCATGATTTAGAAATACTTTCTATATAAAAGTTCTTTTTAAAAAATAAATTCATTTTCCTTTTTAATATCTAATATTCAATTCCTATGTTAATAACCAGTATCATTTTGTATGCCCTAGATAAGCTCATTCTAATGAGCTGGATCGCACAACCTAAGTAGGATATAAAAGACATCGACGCGATGTCAAAAGAATATATTTGATCTTTAATTTCTAATAATATATAAATAAAGATAACTCATAATATATGAAAAATACATTCATGATAAATTTAGTTATATTATTTTGATATATCAATATATATCTTTTATAGTAGGGAGGCAGTAATTAC